TGATCGTTACAGACACACTCACATCACATCATCCAAAAGTACCAAACATCACAGCCCATGAAAAAGGGCTGAGTGTGTGAAAAGACGTAATTGCCCCCATGATTCTGAAAGTGAGCAAGGTATCGACGGCCACAAAATGGGAAAAACATATGATTGGTCAACAGTATCGTGGGCGGGACCCACGTTATCTAAGTTGAACGGTCAAGGTACAAATGATTAATGTTGATGCAAAACATAGGATTCCAGCCCTTCTTTTAGTCTGAGTAATGAACTTTCTAATTTTCTGGTCTTTAATGGCTTCCGGCGACTGCTTTTGCAAAGCCAAATTTTTCCTTTGAATCATTGTTGCCATTAGCTCTGGTCATAAAGATGGGAAGAATGATCAATAATGAATCAGAAAATTTTAGTATCTTTTCGTACCTAATTCTTTTTGTATCTGGTTCTTGGGGTTGGTTGTTAGATGAACGTACATTATTTACTTTTAATGTGAGATTTTGTATCAGTTTGAACGATACTAAAACCTCTCTTTAGTATATGTGTTTAAAAATCTTAAGTGAAGCTCAAAAAACACAATATGTGTTCTTGGGCTATTGCATAATGATATTAAAATTAGACACCATGTGGTGTGCTAGAACGAACACTGGGTCTTACAGAGGAGTGGTTCGGTTGGAGAAGATAACAAAATACCCTTTATAAGGACGTGAAAATCTCTCCTAGTGAGTGGAATTGTTTGAGATAGTGATTATACATAGGAGTGGTACTTAAACGCTTTTTTACCTTTTTTTAATGGAGATAATTAAATTGAATAAAATTTATAGAGAATATCAAAAAAAATAATTTTGTATTATTAGGTTTCTAAAAATAAAATTAAAAAAAACTTTAATTATTAGAAATAAGTGTAATTAACTAATAATAAAAATTTCATTAACCAGAGTATCCGGTAAATAAACTGAAGGGAAAAGGCGATGGGTTGGTCAAATCAAACCAGGGTTCGAGTAGTTTGACCAGACCCGAACCCTCCGTCTCCGACGTCATGATATAACTAACCACGATGGGCACGCGGAACCACGGCCCACCCGGCCCAATTCCCGCGGGCTTTCCATTTAATTTTCTTTTTTGTTTTAAAGTTGATTTTTATTAGGGAGGAACGTAATTGGCAATCTTACCGCAGTTCCATCATTGTACACTTATACCTTGCGTGCGCCCGCCGCGCACGTACGAGCGGGCCTTCTGCTTTTTAATTTATTTATTTTATGGGTTCATTTAATTTGAGGGAAATGTAATTTAATTGCAAATATTGTTATTATTATTTGTGTGAAATTGAATTCTATATATAATTTCAGGCTCCGTGCAATCTACAAGTTTCGCCTTTGACTGTATTCATTGTTTCGCCTTCTTCTTTCTCCGTGACGCTCTTTCAGTACTGTGTACGATCTGTGAAATTTCTCAACTCAGCTAACTTCCTTCGCTCTCTCCACGGTTCTTCAGGGGATTTTCTTTTCGTGAGTAATTTTTATCTCTACCTTCCTTCCTCCCTTGATTTCTTTCTTTTTCTCGCCGGCGATTTACTGTAATTTGCATTCTTTACTCTCTTATTTTGAATCCTATCTCTGAATCCTTGCTTAACGAACCCGAACATGATCTTGTTTCTCTTCTTCTTATTCTTCTTAGTCTGCAACTTCATGATCTGTGATTCTGCTATGCTGCTGTACCTGTCTTTACACTCTTTTCTTTGATAACGCCTCTCTGGCTTTTGAAGGGACAAGTTGAATTTAATTGCTTCAGGTCGCATGCGTTTTCTGTTTACGACTTATCTCTCTCCGTATTTTTTGTTTTGTTGTTGTACTGCTTTGGTTTATGATGTTCGTGCTCGTCTTTTGTTCATGGAGTCACTTGGAGTATTTCGTTAATTTTTATTGTGAAGATATTTGTCGTGTTTGAATTGGTTTCAGTTATGAAGTCGATGAAATTTTCAGTTCCGTGTATGGCGTTTTTTTCTCTGCGCCTTGTGTTTGAATATGACTAGAATCTCGTTTTTATGGAGTTGAGCGGTGTTTCTAATGGTGTAATGAAATAAAAATTTGCAGGAGTTTTGAATTATTGTTGACGGTTCTGATTTGTGGAGATCCGTTTGCGGAAAAGGTTGGAACAGCATGCGGTGGTGTTTGAGTCTCTCAGTCGACGTTTTTCGCAAAGTCGTTTCGTTGAACTTATACTGTAGAGTTATTCTGTAATTCTTCTCTGATCGTAGATCGATTCTTCTCTTTCTCTCGTCATATTCTTATAAAGCTATCATCCATGGGATCCAACTTTCTCGTCGTAGTTCCTTGTTATGTCCGCCAGATTAGTTGAAATTTTAATTTGTTTCTTTTCACCTTCCTTCGCTTTGAGAAATCCGTTTTAGTATCCTACTTCCAGTTTTCAGTCTTATTTCTTTCAATTACGCTTGAAGAAGGCGACTTACCTAGTTGGCTGTGAATCTCATTCGATCGTGGTAGACGGACATTTACTCTGTTTCTCTCTAGACAATTGTGCTATTACTCGTATTGAAGGGCTAGGGTAGTAGTTATGGTGTGCCAAGCAGCTAGTCAAACAAGATTTCGAGCATTGAAACATGAAAATGGGATTGCTGGAAGTTCCACCATAATAGTTAGAGTCATTGCATGCTTTCAACCTCTCCAGGATTGTCAGGTTCGTATTTAAATTCTTAAATGCCGTCTTTGATCTTGAATGAACATTATTAGAGGAAATGCCTGTTTACGTTTTTTGAACTCATGCCCATTTTTTTTTTTTTACTTTTTTCAGGCTGAGTACTTTCGTCATTTGCTGAAACCAGTCACGTAGATAGATTCTGTATTCTTGCGTTCATATTAAGCTGGCGTCTTTTGTTATTTTTCTTAATCCTAAGAGATACGGAAACTGCAATCACTAGTTTACAACACCCTCTTTCTGGTATGTTTTACTCGTCCATCATTTTTTGTCCTTTCCCACTGGCATGCTCCATTTTTCAGATACTTAACCGTTGTTAATTCTGTCATCCATCTAGGTGAAACTAAATTGTTTTGATTGGATGGGAGAAGCTTGGGAAGCCGGACGTCCTCCTAAGCTTCTTTTTGATTGGCAAACATCTCTGTTAAATTCTTTTGGTACTGTACCGAATCTGGGCCAATCTAATCCCACTGCTTCAAGTATTGGCAACAATATGGTCATAACGAATGGATCTTACCCAGGAAACTCTGCATTGAAGGTTCCTCAGTCCCAGCCAGGCCTAATGAATGAACCGTGTAATTGGTTTGATTACTTTGGACCTTCACCTCGAGCAACTTTACCTGTTAAGAGTCCTATTTACCATGATAAACTAGCGGCTCTAAGTAAAGGACTTTCGAAGGAGGCTCTGGCACCTCTTTCTAGCTCTGGAGCTCAGCCGAAGGAATTTCTTGTCATTGATCAATCTGCAGATAAAACAACTTTGGTTTTATGTTCTGGAGTTGGTGGTCCTGTCCAGTTACTTACTTCATTGACTCCACAGCCTACTGCTCCTTGTAAATTCAATGGAGAAGATACAGGGAAGAAACGTGATTTCATTTATGACTCGAAACTAGTTTTGTCAAATGATTTTTCTGGGAACCATGTGAGTGAGATGCAAGAAGACACAGAAGAACTCAATGCTCTCCTCTACTCAGAGGATGAAAGTGAATTTGATGATGATGATGATGATGATGATGATGAAGTTACAAGCACTGGTCATTCACCGAGCACAATGACAACTAAAGATCAACAGTATGACTGTGAGGAAAAGAACGAAGAAGTTGCTAGCTCTGCAGGTTCAACTAAGAAACGTAAAATTGATAGAGTTTATGATGTAATGTCACTAATGGACACTGCAAGTTCACTAATGCCTCGAAGATCCCCCGAATACGAGGACGACGCTGAATCTAGCTGTGGAAACGAAGGAAGCCGGGATATGGAGGATGTGGATTCCTCATGTATCAACAAAAAGATGAGAAAAGAGAAAATACGCGAAACCGTCGGCATCCTCGAGGGTTTAATTCCTAATGGGAAAGGCAAAGAGGCCGTTGTTGTTCTAGACAAGGCAATTCAGTACTTAAAAGCATTGAGATTGAAGGCAGAGGCTGCATTTGGGGTCAATGCATGCTGCTGAGAATATGTATGTGAATAGGATGGGTTCAATTGTAGTATGTCTATGTTTTTTACATGTTATTCTGATAGGAAAACAATGGTGGACCGACCACCACGTTGAATAAGTTAGGGAACTTCATGCATTGGTTAGAAATGAGCAGAAGATTGGGTTTAAAAGGTGGAGAAGAAAGAAGAAACAACTACAACTCCCCCACCTGAAACAAGTGGAAATGGTGGGGTTGAAAAGAGGGGTCCCTAATAAAGAAACGCACGCCCTTGTTTACTGGTGGGCCCCCCCCGCCCCTCTCCGCCCTGCCTTTTTCTAATGCCCACTTCCAGTGGAGTTTGTTGAATTTGCAGGAGGTCATGAAGCAGTCAAAGGCTTTCCACCTTCCACCTTCCGCCTGGCAGCTTTATTAGAACTATTGGGATTTTGTTTCTTCCTTTGTGGAGGAAGGAGGAAGGAGGAAGGAGGAAGAAAGAAGAAAGGTTAGCCAAAATTAGTTGCGCGTTTGTTTGGGTTTGGGTTTGGTAGTGTAGCAGCGGGTAGCGTAGTAGTGGATTTGGTTGCGAGTTATAATTGTAGGGTTGGTGTGTGTATGTATGTAGAAGCGTCGCATGCAAGCATTTATGATAATGAGAGCGATGTCTTTTGTACTTTATTATTATTATTATTACTATTTGTCTTTAAGCGTAAACAATAGAAAAAAAAAAAAGAAAAAAAGAAAGATTTAATCTGTCTGTGTTGGAGATGATGATGTGTACAGTATAGAGAGGGGACCACCAGGAGAAGGGAGGGAGAAGGAAGAGAGTTAGTGCATTATTAAGGATGTGGATAATGGCATCTGAATCTGCATGTNAGATAGATTCTGTATTCTTGCGTTCATATTAAGCTGGCGTCTTTTGTTATTTTTCTTAATCCTAAGAGATACGGAAACTGCAATCACTAGTTTACAACACCCTCTTTCTGGTATGTTTTACTCGTCCATCATTTTTTGTCCTTTCCCACTGGCATGCTCCATTTTTCAGATACTTAACCGTTGTTAATTCTGTCATCCATCTAGGTGAAACTAAATTGTTTTGATTGGATGGGAGAAGCTTGGGAAGCCGGACGTCCTCCTAAGCTTCTTTTTGATTGGCAAACATCTCTGTTAAATTCTTTTGGTACTGTACCGAATCTGGGCCAATCTAATCCCACTGCTTCAAGTATTGGCAACAATATGGTCATAACGAATGGATCTTACCCAGGAAACTCTGCATTGAAGGTTCCTCAGTCCCAGCCAGGCCTAATGAATGAACCGTGTAATTGGTTTGATTACTTTGGACCTTCACCTCGAGCAACTTTACCTGTTAAGAGTCCTATTTACCATGATAAACTAGCGGCTCTAAGTAAAGGACTTTCGAAGGAGGCTCTGGCACCTCTTTCTAGCTCTGGAGCTCAGCCGAAGGAATTTCTTGTCATTGATCAATCTGCAGATAAAACAACTTTGGTTTTATGTTCTGGAGTTGGTGGTCCTGTCCAGTTACTTACTTCATTGACTCCACAGCCTACTGCTCCTTGTAAATTCAATGGAGAAGATACAGGGAAGAAACGTGATTTCATTTATGACTCGAAACTAGTTTTGTCAAATGATTTTTCTGGGAACCATGTGAGTGAGATGCAAGAAGACACAGAAGAACTCAATGCTCTCCTCTACTCAGAGGATGAAAGTGAATTTGATGATGATGATGATGATGATGATGATGAAGTTACAAGCACTGGTCATTCACCGAGCACAATGACAACTAAAGATCAACAGTATGACTGTGAGGAAAAGAACGAAGAAGTTGCTAGCTCTGCAGGTTCAACTAAGAAACGTAAAATTGATAGAGTTTATGATGTAATGTCACTAATGGACACTGCAAGTTCACTAATGCCTCGAAGATCCCCCGAATACGAGGACGACGCTGAATCTAGCTGTGGAAACGAAGGAAGCCGGGATATGGAGGATGTGGATTCCTCATGTATCAACAAAAAGATGAGAAAAGAGAAAATACGCGAAACCGTCGGCATCCTCGAGGGTTTAATTCCTAATGGGAAAGGCAAAGAGGCCGTTGTTGTTCTAGACAAGGCAATTCAGTACTTAAAAGCATTGAGATTGAAGGCAGAGGCTGCATTTGGGGTCAATGCATGCTGCTGAGAATATGTATGTGAATAGGATGGGTTCAATTGTAGTATGTCTATGTTTTTTACATGTTATTCTGATAGGAAAACAATGGTGGACCGACCACCACGTTGAATAAGTTAGGGAACTTCATGCATTGGTTAGAAATGAGCAGAAGATTGGGTTTAAAAGGTGGAGAAGAAAGAAGAAACAACTACAACTCCCCCACCTGAAACAAGTGGAAATGGTGGGGTTGAAAAGAGGGGTCCCTAATAAAGAAACGCACGCCCTTGTTTACTGGTGGGCCCCCCCCGCCCCTCTCCGCCCTGCCTTTTTCTAATGCCCACTTCCAGTGGAGTTTGTTGAATTTGCAGGAGGTCATGAAGCAGTCAAAGGCTTTCCACCTTCCACCTTCCGCCTGGCAGCTTTATTAGAACTATTGGGATTTTGTTTCTTCCTTTGTGGAGGAAGGAGGAAGGAGGAAGGAGGAAGAAAGAAGAAAGGTTAGCCAAAATTAGTTGCGCGTTTGTTTGGGTTTGGGTTTGGTAGTGTAGCAGCGGGTAGCGTAGTAGTGGATTTGGTTGCGAGTTATAATTGTAGGGTTGGTGTGTGTATGTATGTAGAAGCGTCGCATGCAAGCATTTATGATAATGAGAGCGATGTCTTTTGTACTTTATTATTATTATTATTACTATTTGTCTTTAAGCGTAAACAATAGAAAAAAAAAAAAGAAAAAAAGAAAGATTTAATCTGTCTGTGTTGGAGATGATGATGTGTACAGTATAGAGAGGGGACCACCAGGAGAAGGGAGGGAGAAGGAAGAGAGTTAGTGCATTATTAAGGATGTGGATAATGGCATCTGAATCTGCATGTGATGTGGCACGCGTTTGAGATTTGAATGGTTGCGAGTTGATCTCTGTTTATGATTATGATATATGCTCTTGTGGGTTAGGTTCTTCTTTTTATATAGTTATGGAATCCCAAATTCCCAATTTACCCTCCCTCCTCTTGCTTCTTTTACATCTACATATAGTTTTAACTTGGGATGGGGTGAGGGTTTTAATGAGATTTTCTTTCCTCTTCTTTTTCTTTTAGATTTGGGGAAATAGAAATACTAGTACTAGGCTAGCTATTTTATCTCTTATTATTTATTTTTTATAATCTCAAAACTTTAGAATTTCATTATTTCTTTTCAATTAAAGATAAAAGGTCTAGAGTTTAATTGAAAGAAAATTTCTTGTCTAAGTTCACATAATTCATCTTATTATCTCAATATATTAAAAAGAAAGAAAGAAAATACCCAAGTTATAGGTGATTGTGTTGGAGCTTGTATATGGTCATTCTTAGCAGCCCAGCCCACATTAAAGTCCTACGATCTCTTGGTGGTTCCATAGGCAGCTGTTGTCTAAAATAGTCCCGTAATGGTCCGATCATAAAGGTCTCTCTCGAAGTGTTTGTGGAGAATCAGGGCCCAAATATTTCATTCTCCAGGCCCAAATCATAGCCTTGGTCGAAGCGGAAATGGGCTGGGCTGGGATGGGCTCTGGTAAAAGAAAATGGAAATGAAGGTGAGAGGTGAGGAAAGAGAGTCAGAAAAGAGAGACAGAAAGAGAAGCAGACAGAGAGTCAGACATCCCCCACTCCCTTTTATGACGTCTCGTCGCTATCTCTCTCTCTCTCCCTCTTGTCCTTTGGAATCTGACACACACCACGCAGACACTAACAACAAATATTTAAAAAAGAAAAACACAGAGGTCTGGTTCTGCTTCTGAACGGAACGGGAAAACGAGGGTGGGGTACGGTACGGCCATGGTCGGAAGTAGGCAGCGTAATGTATGGGTGTGGTGATTTGGCACGTGCGTCTACAGCGTACCAAAGCCTGGATGGAATGGAATCTCATTTTCAGTGACTCAATCATAAAAATTTCAAAATAAATCATATTTAGTGATAGAATTATTATTAGAAATATACATAAAAAAAAAAAAAAAACATAGTTTGACCATAAGAAGGGAGTAGGTAAGAGCGTTAGAGGAGAAATAGGCAGTCCCCATTTGTGCCGACAATTAATTGGGCTTTCTTTTTAGGCCCAAAACATATCCCCAGTTTTTTATATTTTAAAATTCAATAAATATATTATTATTTAGAGTTGAATTTTGTGGTGCTTCCGGTTCCTAGACATTGGTGTTTCCGTGGTTCCCAATTATGGGCACCGCCTCCGTCCTTCCGATGTGGGAATGGGATTTCATGTTTATTTATTTTTTTATTTTCCATTTTCCATTTTACAATAATTTGTTTTTTTTTTTTTTTTTTTTTTTTCTTTCCATTCATATTATAATATAAGTTTTCACTATACTTTCAAATAAACTCAATTTTAATGTTTAATTTTTTAACTTAAAAATATTATATTCTCTCTTACTTACAAGTTAACTATATTACGCAACATACATACGTTTACGTTGCATTAAATATGACCGTTCATTTTTTTTTTTTTTTTTTTTGTTAATTAAAAGAACTCACACGATTTTATGGTAAGTTGGACTAAATAGAAACGACAAAGAATCGAGTTAGATAATTTAAACAGAATAGAAACGACAAATAATCAAGTCACGTGATTTTCAAGCACGCCAATTTAATTAACTCAAAGTTAACACGATTTAATCGGATATACAACTACATACCTTAAAATCTAATCCTTCCAAACTTGAAAAAAAAAAAAATTAACAAAATTCTTACCATAAATAATAAAATAATTTTTTATAAGAATGTCGGTCGATTAAGTTGATATTGATTAAATGAACATAACTCTCTACTATGATATGATATTGTCCAATTTGAACATAAATTCTCATGACTTTGTTTGGTACTTCTCTAATGAACCTTATTATTTTTTTATTATAAAACTGTGATCATTCCCTAAATTAAATTAGTTAGACGTTGACAATTATAACATTTTTGTCCAAATTTTCAATAAAAATTATAATAAATAACAAAAAATGTTTTAAGTACGTAAGCATGACGTCATGCACCGTTTTTCTCTCTCTTCTCCGGAATGCTCACAAAATCCTTTTTTTTTTTTTTTTTTTTTTTTTTTTTTTTTTTTAC